TCTCCAAATCTTCCCCAACACTTGTTACTTGTATTGTTGATTTTAGCCATTCTGATGGGTATGAGGTGATATCTCATTGTGGTTTTGATTTGCATTTCCCTGATGATCAGCGATGATAAGCATCTTTTCATGTGTCTGTTGGCCATCTGAATGTTTTCTTTGGAGAAATGTCTGTTTCTGGCCATTTTTAATTGGATTATTTGTTTTCTGGGTGTTGAGTTTTATAAGTTTTATATATTTTGGATAGTAATCCTTTACTGTATATGTCATTTGCAAATATCTTATCCCATTCCATAGGTTGAGTTTTAGTTTTGTTGATTGTTTCCTTCATTGTGGGGAAACTTTTTATACAATGGAGTATTATTTAGCCATAAAAAAGAATGAAATCTTGCCTTTTGCAATGACACGGATAGAGCTAGAGAGTATAATGCTAAGTGAAATAAGTCAGAGAAAGGCAAACACCATATGATTTCACTCATGTGGAATTTAAGAAACAAAACAAACAAGCAAAGAAAAAAATAAATGAGAGAGAGAGAGAGACAAATCAAGAAACAGACTCTTAATTATAGAGAATAAACTGATTGTTACCAGAGGGGAGGGCTGAGGGGGGTTGGGTTAAATAGGTGATGGTAATTAAAGAGTGAACTTGTGAAGAGCAGCAGGTGATGTATAGAAGTGTTGAATTACTATACTGTACACCTGAAACTAATATAACACTATATTAGCTAATGGGGAGTGAAAAAACTTAAAAACGAAAACCATTCCCTTATTGATGGGTATTGAAAATGCTTCTAAATTTTTCTCTCTATAAATAATACTTCAGTAAAACTCCTTAAACACATTGTTTTTATTTTTATAGGGTAGATTCCAAATCAGATTATGGGGTCTAATTTTAGGATCCAGTAGATATTGTAAAATTACTTTAAAAATGTCACATAAAGTCACATTCTGACCAGCAATATATGTGAGTGCCCTTATCCCAATAGTGACATCCCTGGGTATTAAAAAAAAAATTTTAGCCTTCTTTATTTTTTAATTTTTAAAAAAGATTTTATTTATTTATTTGACAGGGAGAGAGAGCACAAGCAAGGGGAAGGGCAGGCAGAGGGAGAGGGAGAAGCAGACTCCTCTCTGAGCCAGGAGCCTGATGCAGGGCTAACATTCTTTATTTTTTAAATGCATAATATTCTGACTTCTAGTACAGTTAAGAATTTTTTAATCATGTGTTTGCATTTCCTCTTCTTGGGGAATTTGCAGATATCCCCAAGCTGACAATGGCAGGTTTGAGAGTGGGAGCCAAGACATTCTACACAGCGTCAGTTTCTTTGATACTCTTCCCTTCTTCCTAGGCTTCACCCTCCCATCAAATCCCTACTTTTTCTTTTCACAGGGAGCCCACTAAGCCACTAATTATCTTTCACCATCCTGGCAGGTCTCTCAGTTTTCTTTTAGAATTATAGTCATCTGTTTATTTCCTTTGCACATTTGGCTACTTAGTAGTCGATTTTTTTCTTAACTCTTTGATGTAGTTCTGCCCAAACTAGGCCATTAACAATTTGCTTTATATAATATTTTTAAGAAACAAATTATAAAAGTTACTATTTTACTTAATCAACCCAATTTGAACAAATTTTATTTAATTTTAATCATATGAATTAAAACAAGCGGTATCATTTTTCTCTTTTGTTTTTGCTGCTTTTAGAAATTCACATAATTTAACATCATGCATTTTCAGTATAATGCTATATAATAAGTTAACTGCAGAAAAGCCACTAATGAACATTATTTTATTAAATAACAGCAAAGAAACTGTAAGGATTTAAGTAGCTTATATGAACGTTAAGAACTTTCCAAGCTTGGATATGGATTTTTTTTAAGTGGGGGGGCTTTCTCTCAAGAGCTCCTATTTCAAAAGCCAAATGGGATTTCAAAATACAAGTAAATAAATGTCAAAGCCTCTTGGCCTCTGCTCTGCCATTCTTTGCCTGAAATCCTGCCAAAATTAAATTTTCCATTCAAGGACTGGCATTTACTAAGCTTATTTTTTTAAAGACTCACTTTCAAAAGTAGTGGAAATTCTGTGCAACTTTTGACATTCCTCTCTGTGGATAGAACAGCTCCCTCTCTAGACATTTTCCACAGGGGTAACTTTTTCTGAAAAACAAATTTTCAGTCCTTGAAATATCTTTGGCATCTAGGTCTATTGGTTTTTTCCCAGTGCCAAGCACAGAAGATAAACAGAAGCCAAGCTAAGGGCTAGTGTTTCACTAGGTATCACAGCACAAAAAGGAAAGAGGGCAGAAGAGAAAGTGGGAGAAAAGAGCATGGTCCAATATTTCACTTGCTAGAGGGGGGCATTTATCTCAGAAAAATTGTGCTGTCTCAACAAAACTGAGCTGTAGCGAGACTCACTGTCTGCTTATTCACATAACATCATTTTCAATTATTGTTAAGATCAAATAGTTAAGAGCTGAGTGCGTTTAAAGAATCCCAAGGCGGAGACATGGAGCCCTCTCACTACAGAGTAAAATCGGAGGATTAGGGCGCCGCTTCTTTTTGCCGGTCCAGCGTTGGTGGGGGAGAAGGGGTAGTGCTTTTTGGGAGCCTGTGAAAGAGTGAGGACTTGGGAAATGGAAACTAAAACTCTCAACCAGAAAAATCCTGCAGTATCCCTAAATGAAAGTTCAAAAAGTTAACAAGAAAACTGAGGGCTAAATTAAAGGTAAAATTGAAAACTACAGAAAGTTAGGTGAGAAATCTATCTGCGATTGAACTGTTTGCACTTCTAAAAGCAATGGCTTGAAGCAGCAAGCAAGTTACTAGTCTGTCTTTATGCTTTCTCCCCACTCTCCTTTTCTCTTCCTTTCCTCTTTCGCAGCTTTTCTCGTAGGCAGTGCGCCCTGAGATTGTCGCCCTGTGAGCATTCCTTTAATTTCCGAGTTATTTCTTTTCCTCTTGTCCTCAGACCTAAGCCTCCTTTTCTTCAGACAGTATTTGTTCAGGGACGTATCATAGAGTAGGTAGAGGGGTAGAAAAAAGTTTTTTGGTTTGGGAAACTTGGGCCTTTGTTGTGTCATTTCCCCTGCCCCTCCACGCCCCCAGCCACGTGACCAAGAAAGGCCGGAATTTTGTGAATGGAGCCGAAAGGTGGCTGCAAGGGCGGGAGAAGCTCCGCCCCTTCCCCCTGAAGCGGCCAATCTCCTAGCGGAGCGCTGCGGGGTCAGTAATAAACAACAATGGGCTGGAAACATACGATACGTTATTGGCTGAGGCGAGAACCTCGCGGGGGCCTACCCTAAAGCTCCGCCCCCTCTCGGTTACCCTGGATACCCGTCAGGCTCTGGCCGCTGAGGTCTTTGGAAACTGTTGCTCACGTTACAGAGGCTGGTTTATCCCAGGAATGCTGGGCGGCGGGACACCCTTGCTATTGGCTTCTCGCCTGATTTCACCCTCAGAATGTACCCCAGAGCCTCACTATTCCTCTTGGAGACCCAGGCTGTGCCCGGAACCCCTCCGTGGCCGAGGTTAAAGTGCAGTTCCCGCCCAAAATGTTTGTTAGGTGCTCGCGTTTGCACCCGCTACTTGGATTAACTAGTTTGAGGGAATGCACGGTAGGTGTCCTTGCTGTCCACAGTTATTGGGTGTTTCCCAGTAATACTTTTTCTATTGTTGTTTATTTAAAAAAATTTTTTTTTGACAGATATTTACCCTCCTAGTTCCCTCCATGGGTCCGGAATTGAGTCTTACGGGCTCACACTCTCATTTCAATGCGTCTCCATCACGTTCCATTTAAGGAAGGAAACTTTCAAATAGAAATTGAGAACTGCAGCACGTTTCCCTAAGGCGGAACAGCTGCCGGAAACGTCCTTTGGTCTCTAGCTCTGGTCGCCATCAGGATCACAAGTGAATTTCAACACCACTAAGTCGCTGGTCCCATCCCCACGGCCTCCCATCCACTGTTGGGCCGAGGCTGCTTCCTAAGTGACTTTTTACAGCTCCAAGCCTCATAGGCGCGTCAGGGCAAGTGGTTTCAGAGTTGCAGCCCACACTTTTTAACGTCCCGATCATTGTCCTTGAAACTCGAGCCCCATCACCGCTCGCCCCCAGCTCCGGGCTCTAGCGGTTTAAAAAGCTGGAGAGGAAGTGAAAGCGTCAAGTACAGTAAGTGACACCCTCCGCCTCCGTGTGTACATAACAAAAGCTCAGGAAACGTGCGGGTCCCTAGGATATCCGAGCCACCCCATTCCCTCCCTGGCCCTGCCCACCTCCACAGTGGACTAGAAGCACCTTGTCGCAGGGCACACGTGGGACCTTTGTTTGTTTGTTTGTTTTTATATACTTTATCTCGCCTAGATTGTTCTGTGGTCCTGCTAAATTTCCCTCCCAACGCAACCGCTCCTAACTAGCAGTTCCTCAGTTTCCAGGTGCTTTTACTCACAGATTCTTTATTGTACTGTCCCATGAATGATAGGATCTTGTTTTACTTGAGGGTGGCCGTTAAAAAGTGGGGCTGGGTGTTGAAGAACGGGAAAAGAATTTGGGCCAAAAGCTTAGTGGGAACGAGTCTGTAGAGCGAGGTGGGCTCCTTATCAGGTGGAGGCTGGAGATGTTGAGGGAGAGGATTCGAGGGAGTAAGGAGGCATGGGCTTGGTGGGTCGCATTTCAGAGTATATGCCAGAACCGAACAAAAGTGATTTAGGGCATCAGCCCAATAGTGGAAGGAAAGGAATACTAGCGATTCGATACACAGGGCTTCAGTGTCCCGGACGCCTTAACAATAAGCAGAGCGTTAGGAAGGCAATTGATTTCCTCTGTGGCGTTTGCAGGCTGTGGATACTGCGCCAGCCCGCGGAGCATCCGCTAGGAAGAGGGGCGCGAGAGATCCACGAGAAGGGGCAGCAAGCCGCCTGATTGACAGCTCGAAATCTGATCTTGTGAAAGAGACGCGGAGCCAATGGGAGGCAGCGATCCATCAGTTTGGATTGGAGGCCCCTGGAGGAGAAGTAGAGGAAAAACCACCGAATTGAGCTCTGTCAGAGGCGCTTTCGGCTTCCAAAGGGGAAGTACTGGGCAATAATTAATGTTTTTATTAAATTTGGAGGGAATTTTTTGCAGCCGTTCGCCTAGCGTGGCCTTCAGGTGGGTCTTTCCAACAACTTTTTATGTCTCTCCAGATAATTGCATGGTTGTGGGTTGCAAAAACTATCCTTATGAAAGAGGTGTCTCCGTCTCTTTAGTCCCGTTAGGTGCAAAGCAAGTCTCGTTGATCGCCATTGCTAGTTTTGCACACGTTTGCGAATCAGAGCTGCCCGGGGTACACCGACCGCGCAGGGAAACATCGAGAGTGTAAATAAATACATCGCCTCTTGTTCGGATTTTTGCTACTGCCGAAAATATGTAAATTGTGAACTCTCTTGGCTCTCTTTGGATCCAGGTGAAGGAGGCGGTGTAGGGAGGGTTATTTTTGTGAATGGGACTGTCGGAGGGTAATTAGCTATGCAAATTCAAGAGCTTCATTCATGATTTTTTTTTTTTTTTTTTTTTTTAGCCTAAAAGCCATCTTGTTCCCCTCTAGGTTGATAGAAGTCCAGATCCCGAGGAAATCTCCAGCTAAATGCTCAAAATATAAAACACTCAGCTGAGATTTGCGAAGAGCAGCAGAATGGATGGATTTTATGACCAGCAAGTGCCTTACATGGTCACCAATGTGAGTGATCAGTTCGAAAGTTGCTGTTTATAAACTTGACTCCAACGGGGGGGGGGGGGGGGGGGGAGAAAACGAGAGGGGGGGGGGTAGGGGGGCTGGGATTGCAGATACTTTATCTGCTTTGTTGCCACTGTAGGGCGACTCTGCTTCTAGAAGCCCAGTCTTCAAAATGAGCTTACCTTTCAGTGATTTGGATAAGGCATAGTTTTGTTTTTAAGACCCTCCCCCCCTTTTTGTTCTGATTAAAGTGCCCAAGATGAGTGGAAGAGGAGACGGAGGGCAGCAGCAGCTGCTGCACTCAAAGTTTTTGGCTGGGTTTGTCTGCCACATTGAAAAGAATGAAGTTGAGACAAATGCTGACACTTTTTGTTTACATGGGGTGTTTTTGTTTCTTTTTTTATCGTCTCGTTTTTTCCTCATGTTTTTTATTTCACCACTCTTTTTATTTTTGTTTTGGGGGGTGGTATCAGAGAGAATAAAATTCACGGTATTTTAGTCTAGCTTTGATCCAGCTAAAAACGACTTTAAGTGTGATTGCTTAATGTTGTTTTGATGCTGAGATGCCATGAATACATGACTGATAAGTAGTAGTGTGTTAGGCTTGGCGCTGGGAAGCAACTCTCCCTGGTTGTTGAATTCTCAGCCTAAGCTTTAACTGTCAAGTGAACGCTGAAAATGAATATTAGAATTGATACTCTGGACTTTTATTTTTCTATTTAGAGAGAGGATCCAGCAGACTTATGTATGCATGTGTTTTTTTGTGTGTGTGACATCTGAGGTTTACAATTTTTTTAAAGGATTTTTTCTTTCCCTTTGTAGAATCAGCGTGGGAGAAATTGTAACGAGAAACCAACAAATGTCAGAAAAAGAAAATTCATTAACAGAGATCTGGCTCATGATTCAGAAGGTGAGGTTTGATTTGGGGCTGAATCCCCCCTCTTTACCTATACCCCCACCCTCAGAAAGGAGAGGAGCACTTCAGCCTTAGCTTAAAAATAATAATCTTTCAAATTACTGCATTTAACTGAGACTTTTACTTGGAGCAATTAACATAATGTGACAGTTTGCATTGGAGGATATTTTATGGCCCTGTCACAAAACTAATGAAAGAAGGAAATAAACACTTAGCAGTGACATCCTTCTTTTAATCATTCTTTTGTGTTTAAGTACTCTTGTCCATATGGCACACAACTAATCCCATACACTGAGGTAACAATTTTAAAATATCCAACACCGTGGGACAAAGTAAGCAGCTAGGTATACTACTTAATTTCTCCCTTCTACTTTCTTAGAAGTTAAATAAACAATGTAAATCATTGTTTGCTTTCCCATTCCCCATACACTAAAACCATTTACTGTTATCAAACTTTTCATGGATGATTTTGATGACTACATGGTGAGGTCATAATATCTTGTTTATAGGCCTTCAAGTGTTCACTGAATCATAATTAAGGCCTAATTTATAATTAGAATACCTATTTGGGAAATTAGGTTACAGATTTTTTTTTTTTAATGCACTGTTAGGAGGTCAGTATGTTATAAAGTATTCCAGCCATACGGGAGCATTCATAATGAACTTAATATACTTAGATTTAATTATCAGAGTTCAGTTTGCCATTTTGATTAGGCATGTTGAATTCTGAAACTTAAATCTTCATACATATTGGACACCCTCTCTCTCCCACAATGACAGAATACACAGTTTTGGACTTGATAATAAACAGGTGCCAGGAAATTATCTCACTTTGACTTTTGTAAATCTATTAATGTAGAAATTTTCCTCTAAGATCTTGTATTTAAAAGTTGTCCCTTTTAGTTTTGAGGCATTGAAACTCAAGACATACAGTGCTTTAAGAATTATACCATGTACTGTTTCATCTTTTCTACAAGCTTCAGAAGATAAAAAGAAAGTGATGGTCAGCCTTTCTACTCTTTCCTCTGCAAGAGTTGACTCTATTTAAGAAAGGTTTGCGCGGATAGACACACCTTCACCTCAGCCTTTTTGTGAATCCTGGTGTATGTGTGTCTAGTGTCCCTGAGCTTATTTATTAAGTTATTTGTTAAAAGGGGAAGATATTGCCTTCGTTATTTAATTCACTAAAAGAATTTAAGTGTTGCTTAATAGCCATTAAAATGACAGGATTATTGAGCTATTTAAGTCATGAATCCTGTTTTCTTCTTATATTGACTACCCCCCAAATTAAATTGATACTCAGTACCAATTTCATGACAAACATTTCCATTTAATGGAGCCTAAAGGTTTTTCAAATCTTTTGTTTATGTCTCTGACTTGTTTTTTAGAACTCTTTCAAGATCTAAGTCAATTACAGGAAACATGGCTTGCAGAAGGTAAGGCAAAAAAATTGCTTTAAAAGGAGGGGAAAAGCAACTCTAGAAGGGGGGAAAAAAAAAGTCCTGAACTTGCTGTCTTAATGTTCAGCCCAATTAATTGAGCTCTAAAAGAGCCACCTCATGTGTCATGCATACATTAGAGTCTCTGATGAGTTTGTCTTTGGGGAATCCGGGGCTGCACTACCCAGTGTCATCACAAATTACCAGGAGAAATTGCTTCCAGCTCACAATCACATCTGCTTTTGGCAAGAACTAATGCACCAAGACTTCAAGTTCTAAGCCTCTGTTCAGATTTTAATTGCAATTGATCAGGTTTATATTATTGTACCTCGAGAGACCTCCTAGAGCCAGAACCCGGCTTGCTGTTTCTTTTACAGCAGCGCATATCATTATTTGGTGTTCTGGTGGAGGACTTTTCTGATGGCAGAAATTAGTTTCTCTGGGTTCATCAGGACGGGATGCTTCAAGATTTAAGTGCAAGTGTCTTCTTTCCACCGTGTTCACAGCACAGAACGTTAGGTGTGTATCCAATACTTAGGAAATCTATGGCTTTAAAAGAAATCTTTGGGGGATTTGAGGATTTAAAGAAAGGTTTTCTGTTTGTTACTGTTATGTGATATTTGCTGAAATTGATTTTTGCTTTTGTGTCACTTTTATTAGGATTTATTTAATATAGCAAGGTGACGTGTAAAGGCATTACTCTTGTTTTTAATTACTTTTTAGTAAAATTTTGTGTTGCAATCTATTGTATCTTTTATTGGGTGAAACTTTATTTTGTAGGAACAATGAGATACTGCTTCAGTACAGCTTAATACAACTTGAGAAATGCCTAATGCTGAGGGACTTTTGTTGGTGTCCATAATTTGAAATTTTTCTTTTGGATTTGTCATAAATGTGAAATACTAATTTTGTCCTATGATGTGTTTTATGGGAAGCACAAAGAGAAAGTTATATCTATTTAAGCATTGAGTATGATTTGTATCTCTGTCTGTATGTTATCTGGGAAACATGCAATTTTTGGAACAGATTTTTAAGGTTGTTAAAACAAGGGAGAGAGTCTCTTTAAATGGAACCCAAGTGTTGCTATTGCTACTTTGAGCCAGACTGCAGTGCTTTATCGGTGGTCTTGCTTGCAGTTCATCAAGTTGCTGTTAGCATGTAAAATAAGTTTCTTTGTTTTGCTGATATTCTAGTTTTCCAAAAAGCTTTTGCAGTCTTTATAGATCTTTTAAGTTAAACAGCTCTTCTAGTAGCCCTTTGAAAGGGTGATTGTATTTGCGTGTTCATAAAAGGTAAGTATTAATGAAAATTTTAGTTATATTTAAAGGTCATTTTGCTTGTCTCTGTAAATGAAACTTATTGCAATAGATTACTTACTATTGCAACATAAACCATATATTGAAACCTAACTTTTTCAAGAAAAATTTGCAGAGGTCCTTGTGTTAACTTTGATCTGTTAGTTTTGCAAAGTTGAAGATTGTGAGGACATTACATTCATGAGGAAATTGGTTCGCTTACCTAAAATAACTTGAAATATCTATTTTAATTGTTCTCGAAGATTTGTTGGTTCTTAGATGTTTAAGTCCCATTGATTCCAAGTCATTGCAGTTGCTGGCAGATTTTGCATGTGCATAGCAACTCTGTTTCTGGAATTTTAAAATGTGGATTCTGTGAGAGACTCTTGCCATTTTATAATCAGTTTTAGTACAGTCTCTGACTTTTGACTTGTTTTGTTTATTTGTCGCTCGGTAAGTGATTTGAATAACTTATCCAAGTTAATCTTTTAAAACTCTGCACTGAATATATTCTTACCCATGATTTTAACATACCTGTAAATCAGATTTGAAGATTTAACTTTATATAAAACAAACCTAGAAAATGACTGATGTATTTGGAGGAACATGGACTTTTACATAGAAAATAATTCATAAGCTTAAATAAGTTAAGGAATTAATCCTCGGGGTGTTTTATTGAATACCCAGGTGGGCGACTGTTTGCAAACTGGATAAGACTGCATTTTAGAATAATGTAAACAGTTTTCAAATTAGTTTACATTAATTTATCCTATCATGATATAAGCAAAATATTGTTAATAGGACTTTTAAAATCTAATAATGGAAAGAGAGTTCTTTTTTTTTTTTTTTACTATTTGTTAATAGACTGCATATTTATTTTTATTTTTAGCAATTCTATATCATTATATTATTTGCTTTAGCATTTTAACTTGACTTATCCCACATCTTGAACCAAAAGAGATCTTAAAACTACGCTAGGTTATTTGTAGCTAGATTTGTTCATTTCTGTTCTTCTGGACATCCAGAAATTAAAACATTGCCAAATTGGCAGACTAGGGACTGTTTATATATTTCTTTTCATAATGCTTGGGTAGCCAAGAAAGTGACCATGGAATTTTAAGGCATCTTGACCCTTTTAAAAAAGATCATTGGCAATTAACTGAGTTTCTCTCGTGAGTTAGAATCCCACTGAGAAGTTATACAGGTCTAAAAATCTTATTAGACGTGAGAGTCAAATTGTGTCAGAAGAAAATCATGTTTTTAAAAAGTGATCAAAGCCCTGAATACTTGGGAAATGATATATCTCAAGATGTTTGTTTTTTCTTATAAGAATTTTTATAAATTAGATCTGAAGTGCAACATATGGATTAGTCATAGGTAAATTATTATGGATTATGAAATGTCTTTTATGTCTAAGGACAAATTAGGGTAGATAAGATAGGACTTTGTGAGGGTGAAGGTTGGAGCCAGTATTTTCAATTTGCTAAAGTCCTGTAATTTGGGGGGATGCCTGGAAATATATTTTTAATTTCCAAACGGAGATCAAAAATATGTAAAGGATGTAACTTTGCATTGGTATCACTTTCTGAGTACTGACACTGCCATTTAAACATTTTTAACGTATCTACCACAATTAAATATATTCACACCTCATCCTGAAGAAAATTGAAAAGATAACGTTTTCAGTGACCACAGTAGCACTTAAAAAAAAAAAAATGATGTGTCTATTTTAAAATTTTGCCATAGCTACTTTGTGTTATAATTTTACTATGTACAATTCTTTATTGATTCTTTGTCTTTTGAGTTAGATTGCTACTGACTGAAAGGCAATTTCCATTATTTGATCCCATGAAATCATGAGTTTATATATCCATCCTGTCAGCATCATGGTAACGTCTTATTCTTAACAGCCTGTTTTAAGTGGTGCTTTAGTGGGTGGTGTCCTAGAAATTCATGGTTAAAATGGACCCTTTTGTGTGTGAGGGAGAGAAACAGAAGGATATAAAATTGAGTTTGAAAAGGATTGCATTCTTCTAAAATTGCTGATTAGAACTTACCTGCTAACACAACTTGAAGAGAAATAATAAATTTCATATGTATCTAACATAAATGCATAGCAACTTTTGAACATGGTTTTTGGTGCGGATCTAGACGTTCTTGAGGTTCCCTTTCATCAGTGACACTAAGGACAAAAGTCAACAGTGATTCGCTGCCCCAGAGTGGGATGGTTTTCAGTGGTGTGACATAGTAAGTCAAGTTCCCTGCTGCCCCCACACTTGAAATCAAAGTTTTATCTCCAAGAACAACCTTTCTTCACCAAAGGTTATTACTTCATGCAGACAAGGCTTTTCTTTTTTCTTTTGTTTTGTGTGACCTTCAAATAGTAGGTTGACTTAACAGTAGAGATGTCATTATATCCTCTCCATTTACTTCAATGGCTGATACTAAATTTACATTCAAAATAATTTCTCACGAAGTTCCTTTAAATAGTGTGAGCTCTTGTTTCTCGCTCTCCATGTCATCCACAATGCCCAGTAGTCATAATGTACTCACTTTGATTTTTCAAACAGTTATACTGTTTCTTGTTAAAATGGAACATAAATTGGGTATGTGCTCATTAATTTTTTTTTTTTTTTGTGCTACGGTGAGAGCTAAACACTTTAAAAACTACATTATTTTATGTGGTTTACATAGAAAAGGAAATGAGAATTAAGCATTAAATTACAGAAGTCCATACTTGATTGAGCAAGAATCATTTTGTGTGTAGGGGTAGGGGTTCTACTACTCTTTTTGTTGTACCAGGAAATACTCTGAAATATGAAAGGGAGACTTCTTATTTGGACTTGATTAAAAGATAGCAGGTGGAGTAAATTTATTATATTTGAAGTATTTATTGGAATTACATAAATGTCTTTTCATCTAGGGTCTACTTGCAAAATAAAAAAAAAGTTTGTTAAAAATAGAACTTGGATGTGGTATAGCTTAGATACACCTTTTCCAGAGGGTCCTAATCAGTATTGATGAAATACTGCTTTTCTGGTTCAGTTATTAGAAATGTGTCATTTCTTGAATTTCATGATATAACTTCATTTCCTTTGACCTGTGTAGAAGCTTGTAATTAAAATCAATAATAATAATAATAATAATAATAATGTCAGACCTCCACAGTACTAGGAAATAGAAACAACAGCTCTTAAGCTATGCTTGTTTCCAAATCACTGGTCAGTATAGAGTTAGGAGTGGAAGCTGATGTGAGACTGAAGACAGTTGAAACTTACTGTTTTCCTTCTTTTAGAGGATCAAGTATTAAAGATGTTTCTGTCATGGGGAAATAGCCCCCCCCTTTTTTGTCTCTTTAAATATGTTTATACTGTTGTATTAATGCTTATACATCAGTACAATCATTTTTAATTTTAAAAGCGGATGTGGTATAAAACCAGGCTTAGTGGCTTCATGATTATTTTGTTCCATGGCTTGAAGCTTCATTTCGGGATTAAACAGAATACCACCGTGCAAAGGTTGATTTTCCTGTTGTTTTACTTTTATTTAAAATAAAATTCAAGTTTATTCAGGGAAACTTGTTGCTAATTCTTTGATTCAAAATGAAATGCTACAAAGTTCGGCAATAATCTATTATAATCTCAGGATAAAGAAAATCTGAATAATAGGCAAGAAAAATAAGACATTTCTTCAGTGACTTTTTTCCTCCCTTGCTCCCTCCACTCTCTTAGTTCCTTCCTTCCTTTCCTCCTTCCTTCCTTTTTAGTTTTATACATTTATGTTTTTGTGATAACTTACTCTATAAAGCCGGATGGGTTAAATATATATATATATATATATAGAGAGAGAGAGAGAGAGAGAGATGTCTATCTAGCTATAGATAGATTTAATTCTGTAAACTTGTCATTTATTTAAATGTATACCTTAATGGATCTGAGCTGTATTTGGGATAGAGCAATAAAATTGGTGTGTTTATTGCAAGTTCACATTGACTTGCTTTAGCTCTCTGGAAGGGTGTGACATGAAAAGATTGCGGTTGGGCCACATGGCTCATGCTGGACTGTGTTTTTGTGAATGGAGGCAGAACTCCAGTTCTGCCTGCTTGTCTGGAGGAATTGCTGAGGAGATCAGCTGTCTCATTCACAGGCAGAAAGAATGACTCATACATCTTCCGCCTTGTTTGGCTCCAGGTCATTGTTACAGTGGATAGAACTGGTTTTAATTAAATATTAACCCCTTTTATACTTGACGTTTGTTCCATTTGTAATTTTTCCACTTTTTTCCAAGCTTTAAAAGAAAACTCCACGGACCTCTAGTTTGTAAAGAGCGGGGGCTTTTTACTTGCCTGCAGCCAACCTTGGAAAATATTTAAAACTCTTACCTTTTCTTAAGTTGTTAGTATTTCAGTTGAAAGTTTAAGCATACAATAAAGGGACTCTATTTAAAAATTGCCGCCACCCCCAGAAATGTTAGTTAAGAAAGTATGCTGAAACTGAAAATGAGGGTTAGTGATTCTGTGACATCTAGATCATGATTAAAATTTTCATGAGTTTGTTTCTTATAATATGTATTGCTATGCACTAAAAGAGAGAGAGAGAGAGAAAAAAAAAAACAACTTTGGATAATCTAGGTAAAGCAAGGAGCAGAGAGAGCAGATACTACCCTTTTAAAGCCCGAGTCCTGAGACTTGATGGCAACTTGTCTATTAATGTGCAATGAACTGATAGAGCTGCTCCAGCTATTACCAATAAAATCCACATGCTTAATCTTCTTGAAAGCCTTTTATTGGTCTTTTGGTCTATACTTTTCCCCCTTGTCCTTTCTTATTCTTCCCCTTCCTCTTTAATTACATAGTGTGGGGAAACATTTTCATTCCCCAAAGGTGATTAGTCCAAGCCTAGTTTATAATAGATAGCAGTGAAAATAGTGTTTTTTAAAGGTTGGCCTCTATGGTTTATTTTCCACTTTGGAGTTGGTATGGCTTGCCACAAATTTTCAGGCGGCTGTAGTTTGCTACTTCACAGAATTCCCGTGAATTGAGGAGAAAAGGAAACGTATGATATGAGTGTGGCAATACTTTGTCATATTTTCCTTGCCCAGATCCAACGTGTGTTTTTCGTTAACTGCTTTCCTTTTACTCTAACTTGAAATTAGAAGTATACTTAAGCCTTTGTCTATTTAAGTAGCATGCTGCTTCATTTGGTCTATTCCGTTTCTTAAGATTAGCTTCTGTGAAAATGTGAGTCATATGTTTTTTGTTAAAATGCTGTAATATGTTCAGGCATAAGTGTGAAGTATTTATTCAGTATGTTAAGGAGTTAGAACAGAAATAGCAATTCTTATAGCAATTCTTATTCTTTTTACAAATTGTTATGGACCTATTTTCTTTATATTTGTGAAGTATAACTTCCAGCTTCTTCTAAAATTTGGCTTTTCCCCCCCATGCTTATCCCAACACATACCACATATCTACCAGTGATTTTTATGTCTTTCTTGCAGTGAAACATATCACAGAGTTGCAGTTTTGTCTTATGATGTGATAGTAAGGAAAAAATAATGTCTGACCTTTAGGACATTCATACCAGCATATTTAGTTACAAATAATTTTTGTTACTTACCAGCTATTTTTAACTATTCCTGTAAAGAGATATTACATTTTTATTAGATTCTTGTAAATATTGGCTTTTTTTAAAAGCATAGTAATTGCTGTGGTTGATAATTTTGCATCTCCATAGTTATGTCTGTTTAGCTGTTAATTTAGGAGGAAAACCAAAACATGTGGGTATGGTGGAAAAAATGTGTAGGATTTGGTTCTGTCTACCTGCTGTTATTTATTAAATAGATATTGAAAACATTTTTGTATTTTTTTGGTGTGAAGACTTACTTTAAAGGCTATTTCTCCACTTAGATGAATCTGTGAAAAATGAAGCTTGCTGTAATGTCAAAAATGTTTACAGTTAAGAGAATACTAATGTACACATTTTAGCTGTTATTTTTATCCCTTTCCAATATAATTCAGGAGAAGTGAAGATTTTAAGCTTGCATTGTAATGACTGAAGTAGTTTTGTGTGTGTGACTTGAAAGAAATGGGTGGGAGGTGAGGATTTGGAAAAAATAAGTAACATTTAGGATTTAATTTAATCATCACAGAAAACCCGTATTACCACTATTAAACTGATGAATAAAATACAGTTCAAACAGGTTAAAATAGTGTACACACTTTACACAGATAGGAAGTCATAAAACTGTGACTTGAAGTTTGCATGGCTTTAGTTACTCATGGTAGCAGACGTTAGTGGAATGTGAAGAGGAGGAAAAAAAAATCTCTTCTTCCATTGTATGCTGATCATTTATAACTTGAGAGAAAGTTCTTAATTTTTTTGGTGGCAGAGGAAGGAATTTGTCTTTATTTAATAAGCTGATGTATTGGTGTACAGACAACATTAGGAAATAATTTAATGTCAGGCTGTATATATTTTAACAATCGGCAAGATGATCATTGGCTCTGCTCTTAATAACATGACATAAGTTTTATTCAGCCAGGTATTTCTGCTTTTAAAAATGTGATTAAATAAGCTGATACAAAAGAATAATCTTATCTATGTTGTATTTCTTTTTTGTATAAATTTTTAAATACAGAATTTCTTTTTATAGGGAATTTTTTTTTAACTCATTCAACTACCAACCTGAAACTTTTTCCGCAGAGAATGATTATATTCATAAACATTCACCATTCACAGTAGGCTCTTTTTAAAAAATTAATTGACATCTATTTTAACATGACTTGACTGGATAAAATATTTCAGTATTAGATATTATTAGTAAAGTAATACTAGTAATCAGATCATAGCTAAAGTTAAATAGGATAGCTCCTCTATTTTTACCAAATTAAAAGGAACTAACTTCTATTTTATGTCATTTATGTGTATTTGTGTTTATTTGTGTGTGCACTTGAAAGTTTGTTTTAGTAATATCTTGTCAATTTGGAATAGGTTATTTTGATGTCTAAAATCAACCGTGATGAAAATATTTTAGAAGTGAAAAAGTGTACTTGTGTTTTGATTGCTGCCGAGTGCATTAAGTCCTTGCTCTTTAGTATTTTTTTCCTTTACTAAAAATAGGGAAGTTATTTGACATGAGGATTGATTAAATAGTGATATTCTTTTCACGAGTGTCGTATAGTTGCCAGGAAACTATTTTGCATGAAAAGATGGAATTTATTTTTATTATTTATAATTTTATTATTATGACATAATCACTACAATATATTATTTTCTTCTCTGTGACCAAAATCAATGGATATGCTTTCATTAAAAAAAAAAAAAAAAACTCTGTAGCATATTTCGGCCAAATTTAGGTCAAGCACTTTTCCTTATGGTAGCCTCATTTGCAGTTGACTGAATATACCCAAAGCAGGCATTCCCATCAAAGCAGAGGGATGTGTGTACGTGCACATCATTTGAAAGGATGCTCTAGTTAATATAGTTAGGCTGCTGCAGCACTAGCAATGGATACATTGAAATACTTCTTCATTCTTGCAAAGTAGCCCCCCTGCTAATAGAAATCCTGTAGCTTCTTCTATTTTGTATGTCTCTTTTATTTCCATCTGGCATGTGATATTCAGAAGGACCACAACTGCCACAATTATATTTCTGACACTTAGGTTTTCTCGTTGACATCAATGGTTGCTTCTATTTTCCCTCCCAAGTATTGCTGTCAATACCATTTTAAATAGGAGCTCACTGGCAAATAATCATAGGTTTGATCTGAGCCGAGAAAGATCTTACTTTGACATTCCTTATGCCTTGGCAGTTTCTCTCTTAATTTTTTTTTAATTTTTTTTTTTTTTTCCCTTCAGCTCAGGTACCTGACAATGATGAGCAGTTTGTGCCAGACTATCAGGCTGAAAGTTGTAAGTATAGTATGACTCATCTCTTGAATTTTTCTGTCTTTCTGGTTTCCTTCTTTCATTCTTTCTCTTTGGTTGGTTTCTACCTCCACTGTCTGTTCTCATGTTATGTTGGTACCTTTTTAGCGTATAGTCATGAGGTGATTCTATTTGTCAAGTTGTGACATCAGCAGAATCCCTGTATGATCTGAGCGGAGCTCCAAAGAGTAGCTAAGGAAAACTGTTTTGATTAAAAGATGGTCCTATTCTGTGTATTTGGTTAATACCTTTGGAGAAGAAATAGGGTGTGACCCATGAATGTGCAAATGTTTACATCCAGCTTTTTGGTACGTTCATGAGAAAAAGTCTGAATGCTGATGGGAGAAAGTCAGTAGTGAAGATCTGTGTGAGACTATGTATTGAATAACTTATAAAAACTTGTTGGCTTGTATTATTTTACATTCACGAACTTTCACCTGCTTTGATGTAATTTTTAGCTTCATTTTTGGCCTCCTGGTTACAGTGACACAAATGGAAGTAGCCCATAGCTTCTCCTAGGCTCCCTTCAGTATTTCTTTCCCTGAGCCTTGCTCCAGGGCCTGTCAGAGAATGCGTGAGTTGTGATTCATGGGATAGTCGCCTCCCAGTAATCCCTGAGTGAGCATTATGCCCGTATAAACATGGCTGCCTCCGGCTTTCCTCCTCATATTTATGCTCTGCCATTCTACCAACTAACTGTAGCTGTTGACCTGATGTGTAAAGAGTAAAGAAAGGGGTATAAATGCCATCTTGATGATGAAAGTGACCTAATACATTTTCATTCTGTTAGTTACCACGTAGAGCTCTAACTTGTTTCATTTTTCCGGACCATTGACGGTTTCACAGGGGGCAGTATCAACAGCAACTAGAGATGCTTACTGCCTTACAGCTTATCAAACTCATATTCTCACACGTAATCTCACACGTCTAATACCAATACCTATGTGACTTCGAGGAGCAGATGTCTGTGAGCAATGTTTTCCGCTTTTCTGTTTGGTATTTTAAATTTCCCAGGTGTCAAGGGTTGGTTGTAAGAAGTTACATCCAGATTTCCTCCTGTGTTTTAGTTCAGCTTCATTAAAAATTTTTTTTGTTCAATTGTGGTAAAATATACATAACAGAAAATTTACCATTTTAACCATTTTTTAAGTGTGCAGCTCAGTGGGACTCACATTGTTGTGTAAACATCAACACTGCCCACCTCCAGAACTTTCTCATCATCTCATTCTCAACTCTGTACTTAAAAAAATAACTCCTCACTATCCAACCCCCTGGTAACTGATGTTCTGCCAGATTGATTTTTGATCTAAGAAGAGAATTTTATGTGCTGTTTGATGTCTGAATATTGTTATTAGGCAATTTCAAGAAGCCTATTCAGCAATGATATAGACCTTGATTAGATACCCTTAGAAATTTCCAGAAAGATGACAGCCAAGGATGATGGCTAGGCAAGGCCTTCCTTTCTTCTTTAAAATGTGGGAGGGGAATGGTCACATTTCCAGAATTTCTCTTTCTGTGGGACACTGGAGTTCTTTCTAAAAGCTAAACCTGTCATCTGAGTGGGAGAATTATTCTCATTGAGTCATTTTACATCTGAAGAAACTGGTAATGGTTCCAGTACTATACCGAATGCCAGGGTAAAATCACTACCAGAAAGAAAGTTTTGTTCCTTTTCTTATTTGACCTCTTTTCAGTTTTTCATATTCTTGACTCTTTTATCTCCTTTTAAACTCTTTCTTCTCTTGGTCCACCATGGATGGTTTTTCCTTTCTCTTTTAACTACTTTGATTACTTCTTCTCCCTCCACTCATCTTCCTTCCCTCCACTTTCCCCAGGGTTCTGTCCCCAAGGCTTTGCTCTTGTCTAACATGGGCCATCCCTGCACAGTCACATAGAACTATCTGTGATGATAGAAATAATCTGTTTCTGACTATTCGGTATAGTAGCTGCTAGCTACGTTGCTCACTGAGCACATGAACTGTGGTTAATGGGACTGAAGAAATGAATTTGTTGTTTTATTTAATTTCTATGACTTTAAATTTAAAGAGCCACACGTGGCTATTGGTTGCTGTAGTGGCCAGCACACTTCTGTATAGTGATGTCTCCTACACTGTTATCTCTGGCCTGGGTGTCCCCCTGCCCCTGTCTACTGGGCATCTTCCCCTGATCCACCACGTGATCCTTGTGCCAAGTGAGAAAAAATGAAACACCTCGGGACTCAACCCTCAGCCCTTAGCTAAGCATCGGCATAAAACACCATTACACGTGTTGCTCCGTGGACAGTTCCCACTCATCCAGGCCAATGTGGAAATTATTATTATTATTTTTCCTGATTAATGTCTCTTTTGTACTTCCCTTGCCTTTCCGAGTTGATGGCATCACCATCTAAGCTGAAAATCTTTATCTGCAATTCTTCCCGGTTCTTTACCATAGACCTCCACTTGCTTACCAAGTTGTTGATTCTACCTTTCAAAAATATCTTAATTTTGTGGTCTCTACTTCCCTCTATTTGACTGAGTTCACATCCACATTCTGCCTTGACTGATCCCGTGAGTAAGCCTTTTGGTGGTGTTCTTTTCAGTTTTCCCTCCTCCCAGTCCATTCTCTGCAGTGGCATTAATGCATTGCTGTCTGACCTTGTTAATTTTCTCCTTAAACTTTCTTCAGAACAAAGTCCTACAGAACATTACTCTACCATCTGGGCCTTGACTTGCTGTTTCAGTTTTAACTCTTGCCATCCTAGCACCTGGTTCCTCCCTGTCCCCTGAGCTTGAGCCCTTCTAATTTTTCAATTCTCCAAACAGATGGAGCTGTTTTATGTCTCTCCGCCTCTGCACATGTTGTTCATTTTGCTTTATAAACTTTTACTTTTCCTTTGTGGTGTTGGTAGAGCTCCTATTCCAGACCTAGCTTAGACTTCACCACATTGAAGTCTTTCTTGACTTTTTCTTGCTACCCTTACCTGCAGAGTTAGACTCTACAGTATCTTATGTCTTGTACTCACTGTAACATTTTAGATACATGTATTTCTTCAATAAGACTGTAAACCTCTGGAGGATTAGGAGCATGTCCTGCCTAGCATGTTATAGAAGCACAGTAAGTAAAATTGTGATCACATAAATGTGGTCAGCTTCTTCATGCTCTTTTCCTCCTAAGTGTTTTCAGAGTCCTAATTCCCTTCTTAAGGTAGAAAATATATGATCATGCCTTAACACGCTAGATGTAGTCTCATTCTGGAAAAACATGCTAAAACCATGAATGTTTAAACAAACATTTTTCAGAATGCTGAGGTTTTATTTTTCTTCAATAATGAATATTTACAATTTAACAAATATGGCTCCGGGACTTGTGAATAAAACACCTAATTTTAAAGGAAACCTCTAAACAAAGGTAAAAATAAATCTGAAATAGTCTAATAAAAAGAAAATGGAGGTGTGCTTTATTTCACGTTTCCACTGACATAAAGGACTATTGTTTGAAGATGGTGAACAGCTAATTTCAATGTTCATTGAGAACAGAACAAAGGGAAATGATTCAAAAAGAGAAATAGGGTATATGGATTAAATTCTAAGGATTTCTGGATGAAGGAGGTTATCAAATATTGGAACTGAAAGGTTAGATTGTCTGCTAAATGCCTTTTACAAATGTTTGATTCTTCTCTGGTAGTGCTTAGTGGATCAGAGGGATCCTATCGCTAGGAATAGAAAGAAACCCTGCCCCCTCTGTGTGGCCCGTCTATAGACTTTATGGGGCTGTTTTTTTCAAACATAAATAATCAGATTTCCTTACATACCTCAATCAAATAAAATGCCTCTCTTTATTGCTTTAGTCCTTTGGTAAATGTAGGTTAGGAGAATGAACAGCCGCAGTCTGTTCAACCCTGGATTATAGAGCATACATTTGACCTTCGTGAGGTATAAATGTATGTGGAAGAAGAGAGAACAGAGCGTTCAAAATTGTGAGAAATGAGATTAAACCATAACACTTGGAGATTCTCTAAAAATCTTCCCATTCTTTACTTTTACTTACAAAATGTGTCAACTGGAAATCTAGACTCTAAAGACCTATAGCTTGCTGCTAACCTTTGAAGGATGCTGACTTTTGAAGCACTTATAGACAGTGAAGGCAAATGAAAACAAAAAACTTCCTACAAGTCCATCCTGGGAAGTGAATGGAGGCTAAGAGAAAAGCTTACTTGGCTCTAACAAATTGTTTATTTCTTAGAAACAAATCTTTTCAGAACTCAGACACTCTGCTGTAAAAAGCAGAATTACTCTAAGATATTCTTTAGTCCAGAGGAAGTAGAAAGCTGACTTTTCAGAAAAAAGAATTTAAAGAGTATTTAGAACATAAATTAGCCTTATCTTTCCAAAGTAGACACAAATTTATATATAAACTGAATTTTTGTAATATGTGTTTATTAATAATCTTACATTTTAAATCACATACTTTAAATGTAGTTATAGCACTCATCTTTTGAAATCTACTACCTCTCATTTTTTTTTCATTAGAGTAATATGTTATAATTTTTCCACCTAGTTTGTTTCCATTTGGTTACATTGGTTCTTTTCATTGTTTTCTCTACAGTGATTCACAGGATAGATGATGTTCCCTTTACCTTTTACCTCTTCCCAGAACAGTCCCAGGGGTATAAACAGAGTTATGCAAAAATTCCCAGCAGGATAGGTCTTTATAACTCTACTCCTTTCTCTTGTACTCAAGAAAGAACACTGGAATGCAAGTCAGTTAGAATAGTGTCATTAAAGGAATAACAATAACCTTGACTCTGATATGTTTATATATCAGAAAGTAAACATTAAAAGTTTGCAAGTTTGCAAGTTTGCGTACTTCGACTGAAATTTGTAATAGGGTACTAGTGACCCAACTGAAAACAATCAGGGCAAACCAGCGTGTGGGATCTCAGCTGTTAAAGCCACTATTACATGGATGAGTCTTTGTTCAAGTAAATAAAAGTCATAGCTATA